GAGCACTGAAAAGGCTCCATCACCTCTAAAAGAAATAGAGAACCTACAGGCGGTCAGTTCCACATCACATCACCCCAAGTCCCTGCAACCCCAATCCACGTCCCCTACCTATGAGTTTGGCATTATGTATAAAGGGACCGACACATATATGCTTTTTTTGAAGGTCAATTACCACAAATTAAATGTTGAATAAAAATATAATGACATCTATACAATTTTGCTAACCATAGTACATTTTTAAAAAGGCTTATTTTTTTATGTATATAAGAACTGGGGTGTAGGACAGAGGTGCACGACTAGGGGTGAGAGGATTCATGAGAGAGAGAGTGGGGAGCAGCACAAGCAGAACTGTAGAAACACACTGCTGAGGGGAGCAGCAGGCAGGACAGGAGAGGTTTGCTGTGCCATTTGGGTCACTTCCCTGGCAGGGATGGAACTCATGCTGCTGTGGCTGTGGCCAGCCTTATTTTGCAACACTTTAACCAGGGAGGGTCCTATGCATATTTTGCACAACCAGGGAGGGTCCTATGCATAGTTATTTCAATAGTTATTTTGAATAAAATATCATGAGAACAAAATCAAAATTAATTTTAAAATGTATTTCTTGAAAAAGTTACCCAGCAATGCACATATTAAAAACAACAAATACTGGAGCACATGTGATAAAAAAAGGAACACTTCCACACAGTGGTGGGAGTGAGAAGTGGCAAGCTGTAAGGAGGTTCCTCAGACTATTAAAATGGAGCTACCATAGGACCCAGCAATTCTCCTCCTCGGGATCTACCCAAAAGACATTAATTCCTGGGATACCTGCACCTCTATGCTTACTGCAGGGCTATTTATAACAGCTAAGACTTGGAAACAACACAAATGCCCAAATTAGATGACTGGATCTAGAAGATGTGGTGTATGGATTACTAGTGGATTACAGTGGATTACTACTCAGCAATCAAAGAAGATAAACTCATGCCATTCACAGCAGCAAGGATGGAGGGAAAAAGGGATTCTGCTCAGTGAAATGAGACAGAAGGAAAAAGAAAAAAGATGTTTTCATATATAGGAGTGGTATAAGGGAATCAAATGAGGTATCAGGGAATACAAATAATATATGGAAACACAAACAACACAAAAAGAAATAAACAGACATCTTAAAACAGAGATATTCTCAGGAAAGGGGAGAGAGAGATCAAAAGGAGGGAGGGAAGAGCACAAGGGTCTGTGGTGAAGGTTCAAGAGTGAACTAGCTTGGGAGTTTGATGTGCAAAATATCTGAGAAAAGGAAGCAAACAGAAAAAGAAGAACAGTGATTTTAAATAGGTATAAATAAAATATTTTAAAATACAACATTAACCAAATATCAAAACTTAGTTTTTTATATAAACTTATGCTTGCAATAATACAAATGTGTTTTATTGCAGTCCTCTGCATAATATGTACTTTGTAGCATAACACAGTCACCATGTGATGATTCTCTTATCCTGAAATAAAGAAAAATGCATAAATCTGGTGTTATATAATGTGGGGACAAATCAAGAAACAGTAGCATATGCTATTAACTACAATACAAGTATTCTATTATATTTTATTAAATACAATACATCTATTTTCAAAATAGATGGAGACAATTTTCATAAATATTTGTAAAATTTGGCAGTTAGACAAACTGAGCTGTCCTTTCTCAATATTTATCATTTTCATTCACATTCAACACCAT